AAGTTTTTGACAACCTTTCCCAAAAGGGTCAAAGGAGCGTAGCGACTAGGGAGACATCGGGAAGCAGAGACACTCCTCGTGGGCTCATCTTTCTAGGTTGCTGAGGGGAAGGGCGCGGCAAGCAGGAATGCATGACAAATTTACCGACTCACCGCCCACTCAATAATATAGACTAAGCCTTTAGGCGCAGTGTTGGACCTTTGTTTGCTGTCGTTTTAACATGCTCCTATATCAGTTCCCTCCATGATAATGACTAGCACTTCGAAGATGCTTAATTTTAGAAGTCAGTGAAAATGGCAATATCATGTTTGATATGTTCGACACACAAATCGAAATCCATAAGAAAGAAATTGATTTTGATAGCGTGGAAAGCACTGACTACGTTCGAAGCTTATCTGAAAGAACAGAAGCGTCACGAAAATGAGCCCAATTATGGAGGATTCAGGTAACTTTGCCAGCTATACGCGTTTGGATTTGAAAAAGAATTTCACTTTTAGTTTACTTGAAGGCACAGTCTATGCTAATCGTAAGGGCGGGATCAGGCCATCTATTATGCTTTCTTCACTTTCACCCTCCATTTTCTCCTCTGTTCGGTGGAGAGGGCGCTCCGATGAGGAAATCACAACTGGTTGGCTGTCCCGGATCAGACAGGCAGCGTGAACTGTCGTTTTAACTGTTACCGACGTGAACTTGGCTCTGGCTTGAGCTGCAGCCTAGCTCACCGCTCAGTTGTTTTCACTGCAGACGCTAGGGCTTATCAGAGGAAAGAGGGGGTTGGGTTTGGCAAAGCGCCAGCCCGTTCTCCACCAACTGTTGAAGAAGGCAAGCGACAGCAATCAATGGGATACGGGTTAAGGTCGCGCCAAGCTCAGCCCTCCTGATATGCCCTAACGTCTGCAGGAAAAAAAACTGTATAAGAAGCTCTATAATTTAAAATAGAAGCAAAATTTGTAAAGTTTTTCAAAGAAACTTCTAGAAATCCTTGTAGCTGAAGGTTTGAATTTAGCCACGCCCAGCTGCGTAATATGTGTTTCGATTTATGGCTGGCTGGAATGGAAACGACTTCGAACACACTTTACTGGGGAGTACTGTATGTGGTATTGCATGATGAAGTGCAGAAGTCCATACATCAAGAAATGGATACTGTAATTGGTTCTGGAGGACGTTTAATCACGAATGCTGATCGCGCCAATCTCCACTATATGAATGCAGTAATCAATGTGAGGCCGAATTTGAGAAAGGACATTCCGCGGAAATCGGATGGGCGGAGTTGTTCAACCATCGAGCCCTCTCATCAGCGGGCTTTTCCTTTCGGAGTCGTATCAAGCCCTGGGACGCGCCTGTGAGGAAGGAACAACGGCTATCAGTCTCCGCCCATCGGCTTGTCGCGGAATGTGTTTCCAGAAGTCGACATCTTCGAAAGTTTCCTTGCAGGAAATCCAACGGCTCGCTAATCTTTTGCCAGTGAATGTGTTTCATGAAACCACATGTGATGTCGAGATCGAGGGCTATCATATCCCCGCTGGAACACTTGTATTACCACAGATCTCCACTGTTATGTACGATGAGAAGGTATGCTTCACGAGGTTTCACTTACCCCTATTGTTTTCACTTTCCCTTTCAGAACGATAAAGGTCATAGTTTAGAATGATCATGTGGGCGGAGAGAGTCAAGTGTTGCCTTCTGAGCGTCCTCTTTTGTACCATGCCGTGCTAACTGCCACAGCGAGGGGCGCACCAATGAGGACGATACAATACAATGACTGACCATCTCCACCCATACGATCAGTGTGAACAAGCTTTGAAAGGCTAAAAGCTGAATCACAGGTCTTCCCAAAGCCTTACGAATTCGATCCTCGTCGACACCTCTCCGAGAATGGAACTTTTGTACGGATTGACGAAGTGGTTCCATTTTCAATGGGAAAAAGGCAATGTTTGGGTGAAAGCATTGCACGAATGGAGCTGTTCCTATTTCTTGCCAATTTTTTCAATAAATTCGAGGTCAGTTCACTCTCTAAGTGACTTCAAGAGGAACAACACAACAACATGTTTTAACTATGAAGTTGATAAATTGAAGGTTACCACCCATGGCAACCAACGGCCATCAACGGTGAAGAAATTTGGCGCTACAGTACGAGCACAGGACTTTTCCGTGGTTCTCAAGGAAAGGCATTAGGGCTGTGTCCACATGTGAACGTCAATGGTCTTTTGTATAAAATTCCTTGCGCTGTTCGGCTTGGACGGGGAAGGTGGGGGGGAGGGCGTTTTGCACTTTCACTAACCATAAGTCTTTTTGCTAGTCCATTAACAGGTCTCAGTTTGACAAGACCTGTAAACTATTGTGAAGCTATGGAGTGGTACAAGTGATCCACTTCGCAAAACGATTCACAGGTTTCACAAGGTAAACTGTAAAGGATTCGCTGAGTACCATGTGGCGGGCGCCCCCTTCCAGGCCGAACTGCGCCAAAGTTCTTACTATCATATGAGAGGTTATGCAGTGGAATTTTCAAGGAAATACTTTAATAAAATTTTGAACTTACTGTAACCAATTCAAGTGTTGATTCTGCTCCTATCGTGAGCAGTTTAGGAGAGTTGAGTTGCGCTCACATGGTGAGAGAACCGCGAGAATGGG